CGTGCGGTTGTTGCTGTTTGCAGGCCTTTCTGCTGTAGAATTGCTCTCCTGACTCACGCACAATTCTATTGAGCTTGTCCCACATTGGTCCTGGGGGTCCTTTTTCCAGCTCTGCCCACTCTGCGTCTTTTTGGCACAGTGACTCCACTTTGGCCAGAAAAACCTCCCGATGTCGCCCATGAAGAACCCCCTGAGCCAGCAGCAGCAGCATGTGATCCCAACGCGGACGAGTATCACAAGCCTGATAGGATAAAGCATGCTCAAATCGCACAAGCACAGGACGATGGTCTCTACGGCCTGGGCTTGGAATGAGCTGCAACCTATCACCAGCTGCGTGAAGCACTGCGCACTGCCGAACAACGGGATGCATCGATTGTGGCAAGCAAACATAGTCAATCCGGCTATTTCGCCACAGCACCCAAAATACGTGTCTCCAGCTGGGTGGAACGTGTTGACAGCAAACATATGATGATGTAACAGCAGATGGTGTAGCAGTGAGCCATTACAGTTTTGTCGCTGTGGTTGCACTGCGCCAATTGCTGCACTTTGGACGGTGCCAGTCCTGCCGTTGGCATCCAGCAGGAGTATGGGCACACATCGGCTAGGGAGTGAATCCAGCAAGTGCCGCACCCATGCCCACAATCTCTCATTGTAAGATCGCTGCGATTGGGTGTGGGGCTCAACAGGAACATATGCCACAATAGGGCAAAAATCACAATCACCCCTCCGAACTCGGACAGCACCCACTGGCCCTGAAATGCGGCTGGAGGCGTGTACACCCGAACAATATTACGCAGCTGAAAAACTTTTGCCCGCAGTGTAAGAGCCACGCCAGCTGCCTTATCACTGGCTTGGCAACCCCACTCAGGCAGCACATGACTGCCACAAGTGTACTGTTCAACTGCATGTTCAGTGCGCCGCTGCGTGCCCTGTAATCCAACGAACGAGTACCACTGGAACTCTTGCAGGATTTGTTGTAAGCGATGGGTTCGTTTGAGGGACAAAGGATTGTAGGAAACAGCTGTCCATACAGGCATCTTGGGGCCACCTCCGGCAAGCCGGGTAGCCTTTGGCTAGCAGTCATTGCAAGAGCTGCCTGCTAGGCATCATGGCATTCGTCTGTAGCCGCTCCAGGGCCCCTTCTAGCTTGTCTGAAAGCGGCTGAGAGCGGCAACAGCAACATGCAACGCAGTCGTGTCACATGAACTGTACATGGACTGATAGCAAAGCAACAGGACGGAAGTTATTTCACCCCCAGGGGTCCACGCACCTCAGAGAAGCCACCCAGACGGAAAAAAACACCACAGTTGTGGCAGCAGTAGCAGCAGTAGCAATACCGGTTCGGAGCGAAAAAATTGCATGGCGTTGGCTGCGGGCCAACTGGACTTGCGTTTTTGAAATGTTCAATACAGTAGCAAGTCCTGTTTTGCGCTTTTGCGACACTCCAAGCACATCCAACCGCTCTGGGTCACTGTGGACAGCTAGCTTGACATGCTGGGCTTGCCACGAGAATAGTCCAGCTTGGGCTTGCTCCACGTCCAACACAAGTTCCAGGCCTAGCTGCCAAGAAACTGCAAGTCTCATGGAGTTCCGTTCCAGCCACGCACGTTCGAAAGGCCAAGTCCATGCGGAAGTTCCTCCCAACCTGCCAAGAAAAAGCCATCCTCTGACCGGACCCAAGCAAGTCATATCAAAGCTATCAGCAGTCGCAGTCTGTCTGCTGACTGTCAGGGGTTGAGATGTGGGCCTTCCTTGCGGTGGAAGACGCGTGTGACTATGTCATATACCTGGACCGATTGTTACTTCTCAACCTCACGGTGCCCTGCTTTCTAAAGAGAATGCCTCGGTGCGGTTCTGAACGACCTTGTAATAGCCTTGGAACTTGCAAGGTACAACCCTAGGCAGACCCGCTAGGTTGCCTCATGATACAATCAATGACTCCAAGACTTCTCTCAACCTGAGTGCATGCACCACATTCAGCCCTGGCACCCAAAACTTTTTACTGGATATAACTATCACGAGACGAGCGTTTTTTGCATCGTTCTGAGCTCTGAGACGCAAGGAGAAAACATCCGTCTCTGTCTGCGGCAGCGGCCTAGGCCTGAACCGCTTCGTGCAAAATCTATTCCAGCAGGATGAGTGAACTAAGCAACGGTCACTGCACAAACATCTGCGTCCATTTTGTCGATGATACCCTCCGCACAATCTTGCACCAGTGTTTGACACGATCGGCAGAATGCCAGCACCTTCAAGAACACGCCGTAAAGGCCGGCACCCCGAGAAGCCATTGCATTCAAGGCCTGGTGCGTCCTGCAAGAGAACTTTCATGTTCTGCAGGTGGTATAGCCCTTCTCACGCAAGTTCCGAACGCACTTGGTGTGGAGTGGTCGGCTGGGCCCAACTTCGTTGCAAACCTTGACTTCAATGCCAGTGTCTAGCTACCATGATCATAAAACAGCGATAAAACAGCACGAGCGCTAGTGAGCACCAGACTGAACTTCCAACGAACCAATGATGTTGCAGAACTGAGCGAATAACCTGGACACGCTGAGCAGCATCGCTCGGCTCGGTAGCTGTCACCAGGCACCCCACTGCAAGGTTTCACGAAGATAACGCTCTCGCTGGGCCAGCACCTACCAAAAGCAAGGCTGCCTTTCAGGCTCAGGCTGACTTAAGTTCCAAATTCTCTTGACGTTAAGTCTCAGCCAACCCCTGCTTTACTGATTCTTCACCTGCCCGCTTCGTCCGCCGAGCTTCAGAACATCTGACTGCGCCACCCTTTGCAAATCCTACTAATTCTGATTGATTGTTGAGCAGTTCCATCCAAAAGCAAGAAGCATAACAAAGAGCTTACGTTTCGATCTCAGCCGTGGGCCGAAGCACCTATTTGACGGAGAAATTGAAGTTTCAAGCAAATTCACGATTTTGGGATCCAAAAAACCCTACTGTAGACTTTTCCAGAATCCGGACTTTCGGGTAGGGTCCAGGTGTAAGTATTGTCCATGCTCTTTCTTCGTGTTTTGCTTTTATGTAGCGAGGTTGCATAAAGGTACCCTTGACCTTCCACAAAAAGATGTACCATATGAATTGAATGACCCTTGTCATTCCATGCTTTTACTTCGGATTTGAAGGGGCCGTTGAAGTTCCACACTTTTACTTTGCATGTTTTTCATGTAAGGGTTTGTTTGCATTGAGTAGTCACTGTGCGAAACCGAGCGACAAAAACATCGAGCCAGGACGCATGTTCTGATTGCCTGAGACATCATAGATAGCACATGACTCATGGTCAACATTGTCAAAGCTGCCTCCTAGAACAGTCAAATTCTGCAGATCTTACACATTCAAGAAAACGATTTTGGAACTTCGTTAGCGTGTCCTGGACAACTCGCGCAAGTTGTTGCAGCCAGCGGACTCCATCCCAGCGCAAGTACACTTTAAGATACTTGCCTCCTGGGATCGCCCCCAGGTGAAGACGTCAGTGAAGCTTGGGAAGACTTCGTGATACTTCCTCTGAAGGGATCCCACACACTTCATAGCGCTTCACAGCGATGTGTTGCGAGGTCATGGCTTGACTTCACCAGACTCCACGATGTGCGGATCCAGACCAACCTGACTAAACAATTTGTGGATTGGCATTGATAAGCGAAGAACAGATTAGGCGATCACATATTCCAGCTCGTGGCCCCTGTCAGAAACAAGTTGCTAATGCTGTGCACAATGTCAACTCGTCCACCCAACACATCCGCCTGCTCATGGCACTCTTTGCCGGGAGAGCCTGAGCATGCTGTGCTTCCCCTTTGTCTTTATGTCGTCATAGCACCAAGAGTCCAGCTCGCAGTGCATCATGAGGAAGCGGTGGTTTTCGGGGTTTGTGGCTCTTGTCAGACCTAGTCACTTCGAGGGTCAAGATATGGCGCAAAGGGAGCACTCAGTAGAAGCCGTGCTCCCTACTTTGAAATGATTTCCTTGATAGCCACCTCACCTTGTGCTGTGATTTTTAGGAGAAACCATGGAGGTTGGGTCTCTGGTCCTCACCTTGGGTCGGGCTGTGTGCCTCAGCTCTGCCGTGTAATGGTTTTCGTACAATGTTGTACCAGTTCATGCAGCTGTGCAGCGGCATTGTTCGCAAGAGACTCTCTTTGCCTCAAGAAAGGCTTCATAGGCAACCCCAGAATGCCGGAAATTTCCGCACCAAGGATACTACGCTGGCTCGGCGTCTTCACCTTCCACTCTCGTGTTGAGAGCGTCAGCCGATTGAAAAATCTGCTTTCCATAAAGGACCGGGCATGCGCGTGTAGATGCTGGTCTAGTGCCTGACAATGGATAGCTCTGTGATGCCGTCATTGGAAGGATGTTCTCCGACATGTAGCCATCCTGATTGCAAATAAGGACTCCCCTAGACTGAAAAGCGACAGCGCCATCATTGTCGAAACCGGGCATCAAACAGGAGCCGTATCTTGTGCCAGCCTTGGAAATGCCGAGGGAACGTAATCCATTGCTTGCAATCCGCGCGATTCCGCATGCTGACTTGAAACTTGCGCTGCTTGGCAAAACACACACACACATACAACAAACATATGGTTTGACTGAATAGCTTCCAGTCAGGCCCAAGCCGTGGCTGCACAGCGCCAGTACTGCCAATGTACTTGCCTGGTACAGCCGGGGGAATTCAAGAGATGCAAGTTCTGCACCTTGGCCTCCGGTGGACTCCGTAGAGCTGCTGAAGTCGCTGGGGATCGGAGGGTCTTGTTCCTGACATGTTGAAGCTTGCATGATTGCAAGCTTGCAGCCTTTCCCATCCTCCTTCTCGGTATCGTCGCCCTCAAGAACGTTATCGTGCTGTGGATCGCCCGCATCTTGAAACCCTGCTCCAACCCAAGTGCGAAACGATCTAGAACAAGTGATGTCAGACACTTGTTGACTATCTAAGCCTTCAGACTGGTTCAAACGCAAACCTCCAGCTGGCAAAATTGACGTACTGACCTTCCCGCCTTGCGCCATGTTCAGGATAGTTTCGTCGGGCTGCTGAGGCTCATGTGGCGCGATGCTTGAGAACCCTCGTTCCTCTTCCACATCATCAGCCGCATCATTCTTGGTTTCAAATGCCATTAGCTGAGGCTCAGCTGCCTGCTGCGATGATGGACGCTTGTCATCGCTCTCACTTCCTGACTCCTCTTTGATCTGCCGCTCGAGGTGACACTTTGCCTCATGCTCCTCCTCTTGTTGACCAGGAGCTTCCAGCTCTTGCCTTTGGTCTGCGCATGAGTGCCACAACGTCAAACCTCCTGTGGGGTCCTCAACTGACTCGGCTGGGCTTTGATGAAGCCTGTCGTCCAAGCCTTCCGCATCCTTCACTTCAGAATATGCATGAAGGCGTTCTTCGCCACTTGCATCATCTGCACCAACCTTACAATCATAAAACAAATCCGAAAGGAACCAACGCACAAGTGCGCACAGCAATTTTGGCAAGGTGACTTCAGGAGTCGGGTCAGGATATCCCCGCGCTGGCAGACCCTCCTCGCTGGACTCAGGAGAACGTAAAAGTCACCAAGCACAAGCCCCAGCACCCAGCAGCCAGTCCTCCAGTCCTTGCACCGAATTCGAGGAACGAGCCCTCCAAAGCAGGCGCACTGGACTTGCAGCAAAACAAATGAATAAGCGCAAAAATCGCTGGATTCAGGTTGCTGCCTTGCTCGCGGCAAGCCTGAAGAGCGAGGCAACACTCATCACATCGCAATGGCATCACAAGGCACCTGGAGCTTTGAGGCTCGCCGTGTCCTGGCCGACCTCAAGACTGTGTGAATCTCGCACAAGCTCCACAAGTTCGCACTGAGGATGCATCTCGCTTCTTTGGCGCGGCCCTGGGAAAGTGTCAGTGTTCCAAGACTTTCTACTCGTCAAGTGCAACCGGCATATGATGCTCCTAGTCCAGCTCCAGCAAACATGAAGTTTTTTCCCAAAAACATCTCGGATGTTGGGTTCTCGTTTGGTTCAAAGGGCGGCGCGATACGGTCGGTACGCTCGGGGTACGCTAGGGGCAAGCTAGGGGTGCGGTCCGCTAGAGGTGCCGTCGTGGAGGCGGTGGTGCTAGCAGGAGGGGTCTCGCTACAGTAGGCACGGTAGGTACGCTAGGGGTACGCTAGGGGTGCAGTCGTGAAGGGCGCGGTGAAGGGGGCGGTGCAAGGGGGGGCCGCGATACGGTAGGTATGCTAGGGGTACGCTAGGCGTGCGGTTGTGAAGGGTGTGAAGGGGGCGGTGAATGGTGGGCCGCGATACGGTAGGTATGCTAGGGGTACGCTAGGGTATGCTAGGAGTGCACCAGGGGTGCGCTAGGGGTGCGCCAGGGGTACGCTAGGGGTAAGCTGGGGGTAACTTTGGAAGGGGGCGGTGCAGCAGGGACCGCTAGGGTAGGGGTGCGGTAGTGAAAGGGCGGTGCATGGCGGTGCTAGCAGGGGGGGCCGCGATAGGGTAGCTCGCAGAATTAGGGGGTACGCTGGGGGAGGCAGGGCCGGCTGACGCTCCTGATGCTGGATATGCTGGGTCTTGGGGTTTCGGGACGGGGTAGCGCATTTTGGAGGCAGGACCGGCTTGACACTCATGATGCTGGGTCTTGGGAGCTTTGGCAAGCCGTGTCCAAAATGCCCACGACGGGGGAGCGCATTTTGGACGCAGGACTGGCTCCCGATGTTGGTTTTTCGGGCCTTCTTAAACCCTTCCTGGCAAGCAGTGTCCAAAATGCGCTCCGGGACGGTTAGGGCATTTTGGAGCCAGCTCCAGCTGACGCTCTTGATGCTGGGTCTATAGGGATCTTCCGGAGACACGTTTTTCGCGGAGAAGTGCAAGGCGGGAGTGCGAGGATTGGGCGACGGGCGACGGAGGGGGTCCAGAGGGGGCGCGCAGGTCCACGCAGTAAGAGTCAGTACAAGCGCGCGAGCATTCAGGGGGTATCGCAGTAGGGATAAGGTGGGCCGGCTGCGGGCGGGGTATGAGTGAGGCTGACGAGATCGCATCGGGTTAACGTTCTCAGCCTGGCTGCAACCCATTCGGTCTTGATTGTGCTCCGGATTGTTTGCGGGTTCCTGGCTTGACCTTGTTTGTCATCAGGGGGCTGAGATAAAACGAACTGTAGCAGAGCATAGGTGAGCCAAGGCGGCGAGTGTCAATGATACTTGGCATGTGTATCAGTACTGCTAAAACAGATCTGGAAACCGCAATTGCAGCAAATGCTGTTGACCGTGCTGCTGTTGCTGTTGGAGTTGGTTTGGGTCTTGGCATTGGTGTTGGTGTTGGTCTTGTTCTTGCTCTTTCGCTTGTGCTTGTCGATTGTAAGGACACGCCATGCAAGATCCGTCCGCAGCGTCGTGAGTGAGTGAGTGTGTTTGTTGATTTTCAATCAACGCTACATGCGGTCCCACCTCCCATCCCAAGACTCTTAGACTGTTTTCACACAGGGCAATCATTGAAGTGGTCGGAACCACCAAAGGCATACTGGCGTTGGGTGGAAGGGAGGGCATGGCAAATTCCAATGCCTGCAGCAAGGCACTGCCCTAGATTGTTACATGCACATAAACGTTCCTTCCATCATTGTGCTCGTATTGGTTGACGATACTCTTCTTCTTGTTGGTGGTAATGGTGATTGTACACGTTACAGCTCTCGCGGTCTGACGTTTGGCCCGAGATAAAATCAGCACGCAACACAGGTCCTGATGTGGAGAGGGGGGGGGGTCCAACCGAGCGGTCATTTGACACCATCTTTGTCTTTCCTCTACACTATATTATATATTGGTGTTTTGAGATTTGTTATTTGGCCTCACGTTCCAACACGGAGCGTTGGACATGAAAAAAACGAGCTTCTCCTTTTAAAACCTATCGGTCACAACTAGAACTATCTCCTGGCGCCACCTCCTCTTAAATAAAGTTAACAAACCCATCATTTAACGGTTGCAGTAAGGGGCTGGGGAATGACCCAAGACATATACACCTTGAAGAAGCCAAAACCAAACATCAGCAAGTATTTCAGCGAACTGGGCTGAGCAGGAAACAGGTAAAAGCTGCAACAGCATACTGGAGTTCAGTCCGCATATTCATTCTGAGTCATCTGCTTTCTCGCGGGCAGCTTGCTTTCCTTGTTGGGCTCTTTCGGCTTCCGCCTTAATGCCTCGGCTTGCCCGCTATGCGGCCACACTCTCCTACACAGGCCGCCAGGCCTTCTTTTTCACCGAACTTGTGCCGATGACAAAGTCAAAGTTGACCGGTGTTGGCTTGAACGCCCGAGGCGGCCTGAGGAAAATGCAGAACAAACTTCGACCTCACTGTACTGTGGGTTCAGATTTTAAAAAATGGTTGAGCGGACAGAGCCGGCAGAACAAGTAGTTCAGAAACTTCCCGAATTGAACATGATCCAAACATTCAACTAGAAGACGCGGCTTTTCTGAATCAGAATTCACCATCTTTTCTTGCTGCACAACAAACAGATGCAAACAGACGCAATGATGGCTTTCAGCTGGCAGCGTGGCTTGAGAAAAGTCTTGAGTCATGTTGAGTCGCATCCAGGCAGTTCTTGCACATACGCTACACTACAACGCCCACTGCATTGCCAGTTTGACAGCAACACTTGAAATCCACGTTTGCCGGTTCCCCGAAGCACCGTTTTCGCGCTGATCCCTGCGCTCCTCAGTGATGCCATGGGACCATCCTGGCCTCAAATCCTGTTTGCAGTTTTTGCAATGCAGAATGCCAATCTTGTCCACGTTC